AAATCATAAAGTCGAAGTCTTTCTAACAAAAAAAGAGGCCTACCCTTACAGCAGACGCAGGTTACAGATGATAGAATAGCTGAAACAGGTACAGTATATACTCCCTAAACCTAACACCACAAACCAGTTACGCAAATATTGTTTTTGGCAAATCAAAGCTAGATTGGTCATAGGAGCAGCTGGAATATCTTCTCCAGGCTACGTCATCATCGATTACCCAAACTTCATCACGTGGTTCGACTGGTAGGCCCAGGAGTAGCACGAACAACACAAAAAATTGTCCATTTCCGGGCAACATTAAGTTTGTGGAGCACTGTGATACCTAAACCCCTAGATGTGATTGCTGTATGTGCAAAGGCTCTCAATACGAATGCAGCTAATGCCTTGCATTAAAGCTAAAAAGATATGCCCAACAGCTCAAGATCTATTCTACCCTTCCAGTGAGGTAGTTTGTGCCACCTGTGATAGGAGCAATTACTGGTACAAGAATTGTGCCTCGACACTAGGCATTAATTCTAAAATAAGAAAATTAATTCATTAGGCTGTGCTTTTAAAGACTCTAGCGCCGCTGATAGGAACGAGCGGCGAGCGTGTGCCGAAAGCCGGGCAGCAAGTGCAAAACGAAATACATTACCCTTAACCTGATCTTTACGTTGTTTTGCTGCATTTTCTCCATCGTCAGCTACAGTGGTGACCCAGACTACGGACACAACACATAAGAAACATATCTTACCAGTTAACCTCCCCAGAGTATCAACTGCAAGGCTGTGCGCCACCCCTCTTCCGGCCACAGAACCCTTAGGTCTAGTTTTTACAAGAGCTCCATTCAGTGCCTTTCAGTATCTCAGCCAACGTCTTTCAGCCGTCTGGTTGCTGCCCTTCCGAATGAAGTAGAGTTCAAAGTTTACGGCTTTCTTTAGAATCCGACTTCTACAGTAGTCTATGATGAACTTAAAGCTTCCATCCTAGAAGGAATGACGGTCACAGAAGGCAAGCGATTGCAGCAGCTGCTTTCAGCAGCAGATCATCAACGTCAGGTTAAGACCGATGTATTCCATTTCGCACGGGCTGGCCGGCGTTCGACACACGGTCTTTGTTCATACTGATTGCCGCCGCCACAAAGGCAACCAGCACCTTTGAAATATTTCTGGTTTTGCTGAAAATGATGCTATGGCCTCGTTGAATTTTCATTTACTTTCCCCCTTCAACCGACAACTGAAAAAAACATAAATCTAGTCGGACCCGCTAAGAACTATAAAGAAATTTCACTGCGAGATTTAGCTTGTGAAGAGCCCAGAAATAGCTGTTTCTTATTGAAATGACAACTACCACTGAAAACAACCAAGAGATTCAGTTTATAAATGACAGCTGACATTTTTTGTAAGTGGCTAAAAGAATATATATAATATGACAGGTCATTAGATCAGTAAGGCTTGATCTAAAACAGGCTTGAAAAATCAGCGCCTACATGTAACAACTAATCTCGGACCGATGCAGGCGATAGAGTTAACTAAGGGTTATGTTTGCGGTGCCATCTCCCGATAGGCACACCAAGCAGACAATTATAGTCGAGACAACGCCATCATTTGCCTGCTGCAATTGTAGAGATCGTATTACCGGCACAAACCGCAATGAACTCTGTTATTTGCAGCAAACTACAGCATGAACATGTTAAGAGTGTTGGTCTAATTTTTCACAGGAAGGGAGCTACTTCTTAAAATTACACGAGGTAAAGTCTACCCCCAAAGTACAACTTGGTGAATGTTTCAGCTTGTTACTCGCAGACGCTGATATTAGAGTGAGGTTCGGAATTTGCAACTCTATACGAGCGGTATGCAGCTGTGAAGATGAACACCAATATATGTTCGAGATTGCTGCATTCGTAAGAATCAACAGCAAGGATCTTGCAAAACATTGTTCGGTTTGTATTTTTTTATCAAGGCGCCGAGCTCATTCTTGCAGGAGCCAAGGCATCACAACCATAAACTGTAATAGACGCTTAGACCAGGGATATAATCCCCCTTGAGGCAAGTATCATTTTTGGGTGTGATGCTTTTTGGAGTTTTGTTGTCATCCATTAAAGCATGATGAGGAATGTGCTGATATTCATTCCCATTAGCATAACAGCCTCTCTGCAAGAATAGCGTAAGCAGCAGTCTCAATAGCATATTTGTCCAAGTTCAATCGGTTTTATATCAAATGGACATAAAGTGAGACAACAAAAAGTTAACTAAAATCAAAACGAAATCATGGCTGTCTTCTTGTTTCCTACAAATTTTTGACTCATGCTATATATAAATAGTCTAGAATGTTCAGTCTACTTCATAAAAATGGCAAAACTTACTTCGCATCTGATGAAGGACATTGCGAGTTTCTTTAAGCAGGAGTGGAAACAAACAGAAGATCGGACAGATCAGTTCTGAAAAATTATAAAGGCAAAGTTAGTTATTTTAGGCAACTAACACTTCCAACTTGGATCTTCCAAATTTTTAATATTTTTCACTTGTCAAATTTGGTTGAAAGGGAGCTCCAGTGGTTCTTCAAGCAACCTGAACTAACTATGATGTGCAAACCAATTCTTCGAACCCTCTATAGTCTGACGAAATCGGTTTCTCAATGTATCGCGCTGCAATTTATTAGAGGTGCAGCTTGCTGGTGGAAAGTGGAAATATCAACAAAAGAGCTTGCCTCGTTTACAACAGAAAAAAATGTAGAGCCCTTTCACCTCACGTGAAGATGGAGGACCGGCGAAGTTGTTATTTTTACGACGTCTAGGATGATGCCTAGAGGACGATGACATCTAAAACGACATCTTAAGGGGTGTCCAGACAGGACACTACAGAACGCACGACTCCGAAAGAATCGTGAAAATCGAAGCGGACGCTTTTATTTTTACGATTTGTCGGAGTCGTAAAAATGTTTGCAGGAGTCGTGAAAATTTTTACGATCACGACTGCTCTCCTCGCCTTCTCCACTTTTCTCTGACATCACACGCCACCTGCGTCATGCTCACCTCGCCAACGACCTCGCGTACCGCCGTCGCCTCGGCTCGAAGGCCGAGGGGGTCCGGCTTCGGGTGGATTTGGGACATTCCTGCGTCGAAAGGTGCGTTTCGCCCGCCTCGGATCTGCTTTCTATGTCGAGATTCACTTTCGTCGTGATGGCGTCCTACGCGGTTCCGTATTGTGAGCGGAGGCCTTGAGCGATTGACCGACAGCCAACAGAGCGTGTGAGTGGCTCTCCGGACCCACGTGATAAGCAGAGCAAGGCCGCCGTCTAGGAAGCGAGGGGGAGATTTGACGGGGGGAAGTTTCCCCCCGGGAAGAATTGACGGAGGGAAATTTCCCTCCGACGGCTGGAAGCGGAGCGCGGCACGATTTGCCGGAGTCGTGAGTTTTGTAGTATCCTGTTTGGACGGGCCTTTAGGCGACTTCTTGGACGACTTCTTGGACGACCTCAAGGACGACGTCAAGGACGATGTCTAGGACCACTCCAAGGACGACCTCGAGGACGACTTTCAGAGAAATTAAGCCTTTCCACTCTGGTAAAAACCGGAGTGAAAAGGCTGGAAAGGTTGCCGCACACCTGTGAGCGTCGGCGGCAACTAGACAACCAGCAAGCCGGTCTCCGTCGTTGTAGCTGTCCGGAGTTTTGTGTCGACAGTTGTTTGTTCGCGCACATGATACTGGGGAAACTAGCCCTTAAAGGCTCCGCTGTAAAAGTGAACCTCTTTTGGGCAATCTACAGTGACATTTCGCAGGCGGTGCATGCCACCTGCGAGATGCTGCCGACAGATGTCAGAAGTGTCGAGGGTGTGCCACGCTCAGTAGACAATCTTCGGAAAGTTTGGCTGCACTAGGGAGCCTTCATCTGCGCTTTGCTAGGGTGGTGCCACCCTTTGTAATACCACTCGCCGACAAACCAGCAGCCATTTTGGTCTCGGCGATAATCCGTGGGGCTTATAACCCTCCCGGAAACAAGCACCTTATCTCACAAGTTCGGAGCAGCGTGGTGGAACCCACGGAGGGAGGATTAGCATTTCCCCCCTCGGATGGGGGGACCGATGGACACAAGGTCACTTTCCGGCGCAAGGGAAACGCACGGGGAAACAATAGAGAGTTTTAGTATATCGTTCTGGCTTTCCCGCTACGGTATCCGCAGTCCGCTAGGACCCCCGCAATATGTACCGTAGCGGACCCACGCATTCATGTTTTAGTGGCGCGTTCGCAACCTTCGCAATTCGCTATCGTTGCGAGAGCTAACGCAACGCCACAAGCGACTCTTTCAGACACTAAAGTTTACGTAAAATAATTTATTTTAGTCTAATTTTTAGTAATCGCTTACTAGCGTCACTATTTATATTTTATATTTCTTTTTAAGTTGACTAAAGTGCTCATATCTGCATATTTTGTAAATGAGCACAACTGATAGTCACGCTGGCCAATGCGATCCAATCTATGTCAAGCCAGTCAAGCGTAAGGTAGCCATCACAGCCATTCGGCCATCCCTCGGACGCTGCCGCCTTGTCGTGACTCGTGTTCGTGCCATCGTGCCTCTTGCTATGAATCGCCGCGGGATCTTCTCCGACCCGCTAGTTCTCTCCGCTCTTAGCTGGCGCGAGATTGAAGACGCCTATTTATTACTAGAAGAACCTCCGAACCGCCGTTTCAAGTCCGAGCGCGGTTTGTTGAACGTAGACCGTCTAGACGATGAAATGTTTAGAAGTATGTTCAGGTTCAGGAAGGAGCACATCGGAGAGCTTCAGCGTGCTCTTTTGATGCCGGAGACGATCACGTCGGCGCAAGGTGTCCAAATGGACGGAGAGGAAGCCTTGTACGTGACACTACGCCGTTTGGCTTACCCAAACCGATGGATCGACCTTGAAGGGGTCTTCGGCCGTCATTCGAGCGTGCTCTCAAGCGTCGCCTCGAAGGTCATGCTTCACATCCACAACACCTTCGGGCACCTGCTGGACGATCTAAACATCCACAACTGGCTCGACGTGGCAAAGTTGGAGCAGATGTCTCGGGTAAGGATCTCCACACCTGGCAAAACAGTACTCGTACAGTGGCGTAGACACGAAAGGTGTTCAAGGATCAAAACACCCCCCGAAATTTCAACGTTCCTCTTTACCCCTTTCCCTTTTCCCCCTCTCAATTTGTGTGTGTGTGTGTTTGTCTGGTGTCAGTTTGTGTGGGTAACGTTTACAAACATTACCCGCAGACAGTTAGTGTGGGTAATGTTTACTAATGTTCAGCACGCAAGTCGTGAAAGCAATGAGTTCAATAGCCAAGCCGTCACTTGACGCTTTGTCAAGAATGATTATTGACCTACAACTTCAAGCGTGTCCTCAGGGTCTCCAACAAGAGTTGGCACATTTACGTCTGGCGGCATCGTCCTCCCTAAGTGAGGACGATGTTGTGTCCAACGTTAAATAAACTTTCTGGGGAAGTTCTGGTTTGGACAACAGACGTGGAAGGACCGCACCACTTAGCACGTCTCAGCGGTACAGGCAACTTGCTTTTGCCCGGAGGCCTTGTATCCTAATGTAAACCGCCTGCTGCGAATCCTAGGCACCGCACCTGTTAGCACTGCTGAAACGGAATGTTCGTTCTCAAGACTTCAAAGACTCGACTCATAGTTAAGAGCTTCATTGTCCCAATAGCGCTTGCTAGGGGTTGCGCTTCTGAACTTGCACCGGAACATCTAAGTCAGCCCCGAAAGTGTCCTCCCGCCAACTCTATTGACCGATGGCGGCTCCCACTAAATCTTTAGACCCCACAAAATGATTGAAATTGGCACTTTTTTCTGCTCCTTTCTCGTAAAATGGCATCAAAGAATGTAAAGAACCCAAAGCATGACCATAGCACGACCATTTCTGAAAAATGTGATCTACGCATGCAGGCACATAGGCAGGAGTTTGTTTCGGGGGGGGGGGGGGGGGGGGGGGGGGGGGGGTGTCGCGGGGTTGCCCATGACAAAATGCTGCTTGAGCGGGAGAGGAAGTCCCAGGAAAATGGAAGAGTTCGAGGGGGGAGGGAAGGGCCGCATGGGTCCCCCCTGGCTACGTGCCTGCAGAGCCATATATGTAAATAGTTTGGTCAATGGGAGGTGCGGGCAGAGCCAGGGCGTGCGGCAGACTCGGAAAGAGGGCTTGGCATGCTCTCCTGACCAAACAGAAGCCGAAAAGAATCCCCTAGCGGTGGTAGCGAGAAACAGTTCTGATCAAAGGTATATGCTCGTAAAAGGTTAAATAAGCGCGTAAGAGTAAAGTGTAGTAACTCTTTGTGGTTGAAAGTGGGGTTCACGTGTTGTTTTGATCATAATTATGCAGAGAGATGTAAGAAACGAATGCGCCGCGCAACTCTGTTTTGCGCGGACAGAGTGTGACCGCTCGGACGGCAGATTCTCGGCGCTTGGCGTACGGATTATTTCGATCGTATCGCTAGTCGCACTCTTCCACCATCATTTTGGATGAGCGTGATTGAAACATCACATGTACCACATTTTCAGCCACCGAGAGTTACTCCAATGCGGTTATCAGGTTTGTTTCTCGCGACCACCGCCAGGGTATTATTTCTGGCTTCTGGTTGGTCACATTCAAATTTCTGAAGATGCCCTGGAACACGCCCAGCTTGCTTTCGGCCAATGGCGCCTCCTCATTTGTCTCCTATACTTCCCAACGAATGGCCAAACTCTCTACATATATGGCTCTGCGTGCCTGCACACAGGAACAATGAGCATGATGTTTTACCTGCTCATTGCCCCAGTGCACATTGCAGTTTTTATGTTTAATCATATTTTAAACTTCACTATTCTCTGGCACCCTTCTGTAATTTTTAGTCATGGGATACCTGAGTGTTCCGCAGAGAAGTGTATGCAGACGAAAAGGCAAACAGCGCACAGTAAACGAGGACTAAAGAAAAGGGAAGTGCAAACAGGACAAGTGCTGATCAGTATCAACTAACAACCCACATCGCCACCCCTATTAAGTTGATGCACCGGAATATTTTGTGGGCCTGTCTGGACTTTTTTTGTTCACAGCCCATTATTATATTTTATGATTGTGTGTCTTCGTTGTTCACCATTAAAGTTTCCCTCTTTAAAGATTCAATGAATGAGATGTGGCAAAAAAGGTTGAATTTCTGCCTTCTAAGAAACTGAAAAATAGTAACTAAGATTGTGTTTGTGCAATTTCTTTTCCTCTCTTGTTTTCTTTTTTTTTTCATTTTGAACAGTTTGAGCAAAGAAAAACGCCCACTGAAAAAATTTTCTGGGTATGCCTTGCCTCGTCTAAAACTTCATTCTGCTTTCTACCAGGCGGTCCATGCAAAAGGAGCGCCCCTGACGAACTGTTGGGGATTCATTGATGGCACGGCACGCGCCATCTGCCGCCCCTCAGAGTCCCAGGAGGAGTATTTCTCTGGGCACAAGCGCCACCATGTGGTAAAATACCAATCAGTTATGTGTGCAAACGGAATCATTTGCGAGCTTGACGGACCATACAAGGGACGTCGACATGACTCCGGTAAGTGTTGTTGCCTGAGACCAGCGATAAAAAGAGGGTACAGTGCATATCAGTGTCTCGAATGGGAAATTTGAGTCAGAAATAATTTCTTGAAAGGGTTGTGAAACATATGTAGAAAATTCTGAGCTATATGCTTATTTGTAATCCTGATTGTCGTGGCGGTGCCACTATCGTATGGTGGCGCCACTAGCACTTTGCATGGCTATAAAAGAGAAGAGATGATAAAGATAAGGAATCCTCATTGGTACTGAAGGAGCAGTGTCACTTTGGCTGCTTCTGCTGTGGCAACAGTGGCGACGAGAAGGCGATAGCATGAGCCTTATGGTGTTTCCCTCATTCCTGCCTGCTCCTGGAAAACCTTCTATTCTGTGGAAACAGTGGCAACGTGTGTTTAACAACTACTTGCTTGCTGTGGGAGGCGGCGCCCACTATCATGCTCGGCAGAAGGCCCTACTGCTGCACTGCCTCTGGGTTAAGGGCCAATGGATCTTCTACACTCTTTCGGAGACGCGCCCTCCGATACTGGGACTGCGTGAACCACCTCGGCATGTTTGCTCGAAGCGCTAACCGCGGCTAAAGTCAGCCGCAGTACCTAGGAGAAAGACGTTGCCATGCCGACAATTATCGCGTTCATTTAGGCTTAGGAATGGCCAGAATCGAGAGACTATCTAAAAAATGCGGCCAGGTCATTGCTCATGCTTTGAGATTTAAGTAAGTAACGCAAAGCGAAAGCGTCTTCCGCCATTCGCTGACTTACGCGCCCGATATTGCAGCTACAACGACATATTAGTTGCAAAGCGAGAGGCGCTCACTCACCGGGGCATCACCATGATTCCCCGCATCCCTACCGAGCCAGTCACGTGATTTTAAAAGCCCTCTCCTAGGTACTGCGGCTAACTTTAGCCGCGGTTAGCGCTTCGAGCAAACGGGCCCTGAAGTCCAAAAGACACCCACTGCACTGGACAAGTACGATATCGCTCTGGCAGTCCTGGGGAGCTACTTTGCGGCAACTTGAAACGTGTCCGACGCACGACATGGCTTCGGGCAGCGAGTGCAGCTACCTGGGGAATCCATTGACACATTTTTTGCTGAACTACGGGACCTGTCGTCGACTGCGAGTTTGTAGCCATGGTGGACGACCTCATCCAGGACCAGCTAGTTGCAAAGACGTCGATCCACCAGCTACGAGAGCGGCTGCTCCTGGAGGGTACTTGTCTCACCCCGGACCTTGCACTGGTCATCGGTTGTTTGGTCGAAGAAACAATACGCTATTCCAAGGAACTTGTATCAGCTTCAGCAATGCAGAAGGTAGACGCTAAGCCTATGCGGAGCGCCGATCAACCATGGGAAGGTGAGCCTCCGCCCCCTCTGGAAAGAAGTTCTACCGTTCTAGGTCGTCGGGACATCTTGCGAATTTTGGTACATGCAAGACAAGAAGGAAAACATGCACTGCATTTGGAACATTCTGGCATTTTCATGCTGTCTGCATGAGTACCGCCGTCCACATTAATGAAGTCCGCGCCATCAGAGAAGTTGGCTGCTTGGATAGCTGCGAGGATGCCGTCCTCAGTATTCCACAGGTACACGAAAAGCAGTATCTCCATTTCTCTTCATGTCGAGGGGACGGTGTTATATATTTTGGTTTACACCGGGTCAGCAGTTTCGATAATCTCTGAAGATACATATCAGAAGAATTCTGATTCTTCGCTTCGGCTACAGGAATTGGCTGTTAATTTGTTTGATTTTTCGCAGCGGAATATTGGAGTGACAGATTGTTTTGTTGCCGTGGTTGGTTACAAGGAGTGAAACGTTGACGTGCATTTCTACGTCCTATCGAAAGGCACAAACATACTTGGAATCGAGGCCATCGCTTGTTCGCCCCTCAAAGTCAATGGTCAGGCATTGAAGTGTTTCAACACTACGTGTGTGCTGCTGCTCCATGGGAGGAACTTGGAATCAAGATTGTGGGACCTTTGTCATGTGCGCCAAATGATCCCTGGTATGCCATTATGTTAATTGACGAATTCATTAAGTGTCCGGAGGTGTGCCTGATGAAGAGTGATGTCGGGAAGTATTGTTTCTTTTTTATGGCCGGTGTTTATTCATGAGGGCTACCCAGCCAAACTTGTCAGCGATCACAATCGTCAGTTCATGTCTGCCGAGTTTGAAGTATTCTTGAAAGATCGGGGAGTGAAAAACACCTTTTCCTCTGTGTATTATTCTCAAAGCAACGGCCAAATTGGGCATTTTAAACGTGTATTCGAGGACTTTGTGCAACTCAGTGCCCACGAGCAACGGCCCCTGAAGGAAGCTGTGGTAGAGTACCTGGGTGTCTATCGATGCACTCCTCACACAGCCAATTGTGAGAAGCCAGCTTTCCTGCTGCACGGACACCGTCCCAAGACGAAACTGGCCATTGTGGGGGGACCATCCAGAGACTTCTTGAGGAACCGGGCAAGACATCTTGCAAGCCCACGAGAGCATATGGCCCAGTACCAATGGAAGTCCAAAGCATACACGGACCCGCCGGGGAGCCAAGGTCAGCCAGTTCGAGCCAGGAGAGAGTTTGCATCAAGCTCCCAGTGCACATTCCAAAAGGCCGCACCAGCTGCTGGGCTTTCCAAGAAGGGGCAGAAAGTGTCAATATGCAGCGGCAAAGATCCGCCAATGCAAGTGTTTATTTTTAGGCGGACGATTCTGATGCAAGACAAGCTTAATTCTGCGGTTAAAAAATTCACTAAAACCCCACATTTCTTTTACGTTTAGGGCGCCACAATAGAAAGTTCGCCCAAGCGGTGAGGTTGTTGTCATCGACACCATAACCACATTGTAAATTCCGATTTTGCGAAGTGTTTAAAAACAACACAAGGCTCATTGTGTAGTGTTCACTGGTGGTTGCAGGGTTTTTCATTTACAGCCTTGATGAAACAAAAGGCAAAGGGCATCGACATCACGAGCGAGTAAAGCCATTGCAAAAGCTTGCACGACCATAAACGCGTTATGAAAGTGGAGTTACCTGGCAGTTACAAAATGTGTCCTGCAAACTTAACATTCTGAGGCTGTATCTTGGGTGTTAGCTTTGTTGAGGTTTCACTAACACTCCTGCTTTCTACTCCTTCAGCTGCCCTGTTATGGGGCACACCAATGAAACAATCGCCAGGAATTGCTAGAAACCGCCTGAAAAGTGGTTGCAGAAATAAAGAAGGGCTGAGAGACAATTCTTGCGAATCAATGAGGCGGCATTAGCCATGATCCTATGGCTTGCAGGGCGTGTTACATGAGAATGGCTATTACAATAGCATGACATCAACAAATTGAAATAAGCTGCTCATTTCACAAAAACAAATACAATGGATATTTGAGAACTATAAGGGCAGGCCTCAAGACCTCTCCATAGACCCACCTTCCAGCAACATGGCCAACTAGAGGTTAGCCAAATTTATTGTTTTAAGTTATTGCAAATAATGCACAAATTATGCCAGATGACAACATTTATAGACGCACATTCAAACATCTTCCCAATTAGGCACAAATTGTATAAAGTCCGCAAAAGACTTCACAATAGCCAAAAATCCTTAGTAATATTGAAGGTCTGATGTGCTTCAATAGCCCTTCAATTCAATAAAAGAAATTGAGGGTGCTTTTGGTGGGCACTGACATATATGTAGCTGTAGCTTTCTGATCAGATTTTTCATGAGTTATGTTTATGCTTCATATTTATGTTTCTGTATGTTAGACTTATTAATGGGCTTAGATGGGCCAGTTGGTACATTGCAGATGTGTGAATGATTGAGCCAGTGAACACGCAGCATCCACTAAGACGACACCGTCAGGGCATCTAGACGTTCATTGCAGCAGATGCTCTTGCACCCCATCATTCAACAGCACACAAATTTTGGCAAAATACAAGGTGTCATGCGAACTACATAAGGCTTTTGAGATTAGTGCTAGGGGAAACAAGTGCGCCAGCAAAACGTCTTTGGCCCTATGTACGGATGAGTATGAGTATTTAAAACGTGAGCTGGGTAGGGATTGATTGATGACTGTACGTCCCCGTTGGGAATAATAGTGCATACTTTTTCGGCACTTTATACCCTTTGCTAGACTTATGTTCTCAAATTCTTTTACTCTATCAGTAACTGTTCTACAGCTGTTTCTTTTGTTTTTGTTGTTGTAGAACATGAGGTTTTCCTTGTGCAAGTTTTTGCCTTTTGCTACACACAATGTAAACTGCCTCTTGCTAGAACTGTAAAAGGCGGCAGAGTCTTCATTACGCACTGTGGCTTAGTCTCTTAGCACCTCCTGGTCAATTGGGAAACAAATGAAAAAGGAAGGAAAAGAAAGACATGCAAATGTTGTAGCTTCCCTGCATTGCATGTGTGCACTTCTCTGCAGTGCGCAGCTGTATTGAAAAGAAGGAGACTCGAGGGGGCATACAACAACAGGATCTACAACACAGAGAAAATGCCGTTAACGTCTCCCAACTGCACTTTTGAAAAACTGGTGAAGTTCCAAAAAGAATAGTCCCTTCGTTAAATTACCCGAGCACCAAGGAGCATGCTGAGAGTTTAGTTACAAGTGCTACACATGATGTCTGCAGCAGTAACTTTTAAAGCGAAAATATAGACCGACACGCTGTTTACAAACAAGCCCGCCTTTGCCCACACCAGGTGTGGGCACTGCGCGTGAGCAGAAATCGAATTTGGGAGGAGTGAAGCGTCTGCGCATGGCGCTGTGCCGCCGACAGCGCCACCGCAGCTGCATGACGTCAGGGCCGCGTGTTGGTCTATAAAACAAATGGTACTTTGCATGTCTGTTTGTCAATGCCTCATTTTGGGTATTTAGTTAAACTTTCTTAGATTGCTAAGGTGAGCGCATGCAGTTCATATACATCCCCAGAGTGCTCCTTGGTGCTTGAGTAATTTGGCAAAAACAGTTGATTAGCGAGGGCATTATGACTAAATCAGCAGTGTCCATAATCCATATGTGGCTGGGTCATGATTGATGGCTTGGAGGAGGAGTTTTAAAGCTTGTTTTTATCTGTGGAGCCCTCAGCATTATGAACACAATTCGCTGTATGGCGATGGGATAGAATTTATTCAAAGTGATGTTGACTTACCTTACAGGAACCTCATGGCATGTCTATACTTTATTTTTTACTCCGGGTAACTTTGTTAATTATTTGTATTGCCTGCAGAAATGCTCCACTTATTTGTGCTAAAACTGAATGTAAATTAATTGCAGATGATTCACACTTAATCTCCTGCATCCATTCATTCCCCTGCAGGTATGCTGCGAGAGAGCCAGCTGTACGACAAATTGTTGCAGTTGGTGGATGGCCACTCATATGTGCTGTATGGTGACCCGGCCTATCCCTTGAGGCCACTTCTGCTCAAGCCTTATGGCTCAAAGGCGACCCCAGCACAAGTGGAATTTAACAAAGCGATGAGTACCGTAAGGCAAGCCGTGGAATGGGGGTTCGGCAAGGTTGTTGCCGAGTTTGCCTTTGTTGATTTTAAAAAGAATCAAAAGATCCGCAAGCAAAAAGTGGCTCTCATGTACAGGGTGGCTGTCCTTCTGTCAAACTGCCACACCTGTATCTACGGAAGCCAGATAACTAGCTTTTTTGATCTGGAACCTCCGACACTGATAGAATACCTCCAGCCCATGTCTAGGTAATAGCTTTTTTTGTTTGATTTTATGTGGCATGAAAGGCTGGCAAATTGCCGATACTTAAAAATGACAGAGTGCCTTTTAAAAAAGCCTCACATTTCTTACAAGTGCAGAACCCAGGGATCCTGGGTTCAATCCCCGCCCCTGCTCGTTTCGATCTGGATGAGCATCGTGTCGGCGTGCGGTCGCGTATCACTACTGCGTGGTGCACGTTAAAGACCCCAGGTTAGCGGTTGTACCGCACTGGCTAAATTGCTCATCTACAGCCGAGACACCAGATGCCCACTGAGGCAGACTAACTTCCGGCTGTATAAACATACACACAACAATTTGCTTTTTGCTTACAAGTGCACTGCCGTGAATAGTTGTGCATGTGACAATACCCAACTATACTTTGTTCACCCTTCAGCTGAGACTGCAGCCAAAGTGCAAGTGCGAGCTAGACCGCACTCCTAGCTTCGAGAGGTGCATTTCTAGCACGAGTGCTTTTTCTGCTTTAAGAACACTTCACAGCAGCTACCCCGAGCTCTCGTGTTTGTGGCATTAGCTGCAGTCTCAGCTTAATGGTGTGGAGGTCTCAAATGGGTGCGAGGCGTCCGGATAGGAGGCCGACCGCGAAACCACCACCCCGCAGCGGATCAGAGTCACCGCTACGACGGGTTCGACTGTTGGCTGCACCCGCTAGCCGGGACTCACGAAGGGAGTACACGGACACACAGAATAGAGGGACACCCGGGGTTTATTTGTCCGGATAAATACAAAGATATAAAGACTAGTAACGGCAAGGGGGAGGTTGTCCTTACCTTGCCGCACTTTCCCGAGAGCCTGGACGGAGGTGGGGCAGCAGAGTGCGTGGCCGCACGTCCGAACAGTTTCAAGTCCAGCAGAACAGTCCCTTCCCCGAGCGGCCGGAGGACACGCTCTCTCTCTCTTTCTCTCCCTGGCGGCTCCGGCCTCGTCCCCGGAGGGGCGGGCGAGCCCGCCAAAGGGAAGTTCCCTACGTCCCCCCCAGCGGGAGGGACGCGGACGGAGGAGTGGCGAGAGTAGACAACCAAGATGGCTGCCTCTCCTTGCCACGATACGGTACGCTCCGGTCGGAAGCCGAGTGGCCTCCGACGTCGTGCCCGCGGCCAGAAGGCCGGATCAGGGAAAGGGAGCCAGAGGCTCCCACATTCCCCCCTCCTTAAAACTGTTGGCACCCCTTTAGGGAAAGAAAGGGTTGCCGGCTCTCATACCCCCAAAATGTACAAAACAAAAGCAAAAACACACAAAAAAATACATTAAAAAAAAAGATAAACAATCGCCTACCCCGCCGTCCCTCAGAGTTCCCGTACGCCGCCTCCCGCCTAAAACAACATCAGTTCGTCACCCGACGGGAGGTCGGCGTACTCACCGCCGTCGCCGCAGCCGAGGTCCCCGCCGGTCGGTGTGGACGTCCCCGTTGACGCGGACGTTCCTGCCGACGAGGCGTCCCCGGCCTCTGCCGGCACCGCCGACGTCACCGGGAGCTGCAGCAGGCTCCCCTCCAGCACGGCCGCCGCGAACCCTGGCCTCTGGGTCATGTAGGCCAGCACCGCCTCCACGGCGCCGGGCTGGTCGAGGGCGACGTGCAGGTCGGTCGGGGTGGGGTCGGCGCTCGGCGTTGCTCCCCGGACCCGGTCCCGGTGGTAGCGGCACTCCTCATGCACCTCGTGGAGGCGCAGCGTGCCGCACACTCCGCAGTACACGGCACCGGGATCCGGGGCAAAACAGGCGCCCTGAGCCTCCCGGTCCCCCTCGTCCAAAGTGCGGCCCAAAAACACTGGCAGCACCGTCCTTGATGGTGCCCCTGGCCGCGGGCGCCGCTGCTGCGACCACTTACGGCACGAGACATAACAGCGAGGCGGCTCCGTGCCTTTCTGAGAAGTCCACGTCGCGACGTGGCGCACCGACCTTCTCCCGCCGCCACCGGTGGTGGGCGCCCCGGCCGCTGATCCGGGAGCTGCGTCGTCCACGGCCGCCGCAGCCGCCGCCGATGGAGCCCCGAGGTGACCCGCCGGTCCGGTCTGCCCGCGAGCCCGGTGCTGGTGGCCCCCATGGCGGCCGCAGTCGACCGAAGGGTGGCGGCGGCCCGGGCAGGCCCCGAGAACGGCGTCGCTCCTGGCCGTTGCGGCGGCAGCCGCCGATGGAGCCCCGAGGGAACCCGCCGGTCCGGTCAGGCCGTGAGCCCGGTGCTGGTGGCCCCCATGACCGCCGCAGTCAACCGGAGGGTAGCGGCGGCCCGGGCAGGCCCCGTCTCGTTGCGCCCTTGGCAATGCATCCCCCTCAAGAGCCGCTCGTCCTGGTGGCCCGCGGACCCGGTCCCGGTGGCCCCCATAGCCACCGCAGTCAACCGACAGGTGGTGTTGGCCCGGGCAGGTCCCGAATCGCCGTTGCGGCCCGCGGCCGGAAAAACGCCTTCGCCTCGCGGCCCTCCTTGATCCCCGTTCGGGAAAACACGTTTCCCGGGAAGGGCCGCTGTCAGAGGCTCGGGGCTGGGTGCCGGGCTGCTGCTCGCTCATCTTGGAAGAGAAAGACTGAGAACTCAGCGGGTCTTCTGTCAATTCCTGTGCTCGATAGCCCCGGGCACCCCCACCTCCTCTCCCCCCCAAAGGTCGGGGCCGCAACAGTTCTGGCCCACTTCCTCTCTTTTCCCCAGTCTCCCCCGCAAGACGTTGGGGGGGGGGGGGGGGGGTGTTGAAGAAACCGACTTCAGAGGCGGACATCGGGGCATCTTCCTACGTCTTGCGCAGAAAGAACTTACCCTCTGTTCCCCCTTCTTCCTCCCGCGGGGTGGAAGTGGGGCACGAAACCGCGCGGCGGCGAAAAAACAGGCATAGAGAAGCCAGTGGGGCATCCTCTGGCTGATTTTCGCAACTTGGCCGCGGGCGCTTCTTCCCGGCCCGTGGATAGGGGAAACCGGGTGGACCGGCGCCTCTGTTCTCGGTCGAAAACGCTGTCAACAAAGGAAAAGCAATCGCTTGCCGAGAACGTGGTTCGCCGTCGGATCCCCATGTGCCAATAGCTGGCCACAGACAGTGTGCGTACATTAACCGGCCCAACCGCAGAGCGGAAGGGTCCTCGGGAGGCAGGCCACGCAGTGCCACCAACAGAATTAAATGGCACCCTGCGTACACAAACTGAAGTCGCCGGGAACTGATTTGGCGATCTCCCCTTGCGACCAGGGGTCGCGCGGAGACCGGCATTTCGACGTCCCTAATTACGACGGCTTCGCAGTGGATAGCGGGGAGGCTGACAAAGGCCGCTGGCCCCGCTTCGCCGCGAGCGTGCCGGTTGCCGCGAGCGTGTCTGCTGCCGCGAGGAACAGGTGTCCTCGGTCGGCTCCCCCTCCCTCCTGGTGTAGGGTTTCAGGTCGCAGACATGTACCGGTCCCCCAACGTCCCTGCATTGCAGGTCCGTTAGTTTATAGACAAGGCGGGAGCATGTCTCTTTAACTCGGTACGGGCCCGACCATTTTGGCGCCAGCGCTGCTGAGAAGGCCTTGCTTGCATCGCTAAGCACGTGCGCGCGCCTCAGCACGAGGTCGCCCACCTGATAGCGGACGTCTCGATGCGAGCGGTCGTACTGGGCCTTCTGGCTAGCTCTTGCCGCTTCCAGATTTCGGTGGGCTTTAGAGAAGACCTCCGTTATCCGCGACTGGAGCTGCCGTGTGTAATCAGCATAAGCTGGCCGCGCGTCGTTCACCCCATCACTCGCCGCTAACACGCGGTCCATGGGGTTCGGGAGCTCTCGCCCGAAGGTAAGCATGGCAGGGGTGAAACCCGTCGATCGGTTGACCGTGGATCGCAGAGCAAACCCAATCTCAGGGAGATAGGTGTCCCAATCTTTGTGTCGCTCCGCATAAGCCGCAAGCATTGGCTTGAGGTTGCGGTTGACACGCTCGGTCACATTCGACTGGGGGTGGTACGTCGTGGTCCTATTGTGCTTAATGCCAAGGGCTGCACAGGTGTCCACGAATACCTTTGCCGTGAAGACGCTGGCGTTGTCAGTTATCAAAGCCTGGGGATACCCGAAGCGCGAGAACACCTCCAGTAGCTTATCTAGGATCACTCGAGCCGTCAGCGTTCGGAGAGGAAATAGTTCCACCCATTTGCTGAAGTGGTCCGTGACAACCAGCAGGTACTGATGACCCCTCGGGCTCCTTGGAAAAGGGCCGACGATGTCGCAAGCCGCAAGAGACCAGGGTTGCTGGCTTTTGATGGGCTGCAACAAGCCGGGGGGTTTGCCGCCTCGTGGCTTGAGGCTTTGGCACAGGTGGCAGGAGCGGGCGTATCTGAGAACGTCCCTCTTCATGTTCGGCCAGGTAGCAGAGTGACACAACTTTCGGTAAGTCTTAGGGCCACTCGAGTGCCCGGCCAAGGGGGTGTCGTGATAGAAGCGCAACAGGGCGCCTCTCAGCCCGCGGGGTACCACCACCTTGAACGGATCAGATGTCTCGTTCTCACATGGTATATACCGCAAAAGAAGCCCGTCAGCATCAAGCAGGAACGAATCCAACGCGCCAACCACACCACCAGTGGCTTTCCGGCGCTCGGCGTTTTCAGCAGTACCAGCTGATCGCCCGGCGGCCGCGCCGCCCGACTCCGACGAGTCCGACTCCTTCATGAGTCCGTCGATAACTTCTCGACAATACGAATCGTTCCGCTGTGCTTCTCGTAGCTCTTGTTTGCCAAAGGGGATCCCCACGCCGCCTATAGGGTCGACGAGGTTCACGGTCGCGTCTGCGGAACACGGGGGGGCCGGTGTTCCGTTGGACGGGGCTGTGCGTGGCTCGGACGCAATCACATTTTTGGTTTGGCTTTCTGACTCGGACGGGCTCGCACACGCAACGGGGGCCCGAGACAAAGCGTCGGCCACCACGTTCGTGCTCCCTTTCCGGTAGCGCACCACATAGTCGTAGCGCTGTAACGTTAGCGCCCACCTCGCCAGGCGACCTGCAGGCTCTCGAAGGCGGGTTAGCCACCTTAGAGCGGCATGGTCGGTCTCAATGACGAAGGTAGTCCCGTCAACAAACATGTCGAACTTACGGAGAGCAAACACCATGGCTAGGCACTCTCGTTCGGTCACGCTGTATCGGGTCTCGGCGGGCGTCAACGATCGGCTGGCAAACGCAACCGGTCGGAGCGCGCCTTCGTGCTCCTGGAGCAAAACCGCCCCGAGTCCCCGGTCGCTCGCGTCAGTTTGGATCACGAACGATCGGTTCAGGTCGGGCAGTTTCAGGTTGGCAGTGGCCACTAGAGCATCAGCGAGGCTACCAAAAGCGGCCTGCTGCTCAGGGCCCCAGTCCCACTTCGCAGACTTCCTCAATAAGCGGGTTAAGGGAGCCTGGAGAGCCGCACATCCCGGGATAAACTGACGATAGAAGTTTATCATCCCAAGATAGCGGCGCAGAGAGCTGACGTCCGTCGGCGCCGGGTACTCCAGGAGTGCCTGGAGTTTTTCCGGGCAAGGCGAGACGTGGCCCCTGTCGATCGTGAACCCCAACAAAGAAATGCGGGTCTCCGCGACTTGGGCCTTTTTCGGATTCAGAGTGATTCCGGCAGCTCTTAGTCTCTCAAGAACATCCTCCAAATGACGCAGGTGGTCCTCGAAGGTGTCCGAGTACACGACAATGTCGTCGAGGTACGCCATGGCATATGACCATCTCGCTTCCCCGAGGACACGGTCCATCAGTCGCTGGAATGTCATGGGCGCTCCCGTAAGCCCGAACGGCATGCGCGTGAACTCAAAAAGTCCACGGTGACAGACAAAGGCTGTTTTGGCCGCGTCTTCGGGTTCGACTCGTACCTGTAGGTAGCCTCTGCTGGCGTCGAGAGTTGTAAAGTACTTCGCTCCGCCAAGGTTCGATATGATAGAGTCGATGCTTTGGAACGGGTAGGCGTCTTTACGGGTGACTTCGTTCAGTTTGCGGTAGTCAACGCAGAGGCGGGATGTGCCGTCTTTCTTTGGGACGAGAACGACCGGAAAGCCCCATGGGCTCTCTGAACGCCGGACAACGCCGGTGTCGATCATCTCATCCAGGGCGGCGTCAATGGCCTTCCTCTTAGCCAAACTGACCGGACGAGGATTACATCGCCAAGGGCGAGCATCTCCTGTGTCGATCCGATGCCGCACTGAGTCAGCGCAGCCGGGTCGGTCCGTGAACATCGTGTCAAAAGAGTATAACAACGACGAGAGGCGCGCCCTATCAAGTCCCGTAATACCGCACGTGGGTGTCAACAGTGGGTGGGGGGCACGATCCCTCGCTCCGGCGGCGGGCGCCGCTTTGGGAGCAGGGGGGTGCACAGCCGCGCAGCCCGCAACCGGTTTCGGGGAAAGAGCGTCTCCCTCGCGACTCAGGTTGTTCGCTGCGCTCGTCGGGACGGGGGCCGTGGAGGCAGCCGGGGATTCGCAAAAGGGTTTCACCGGTCCAAAGGGGCCCTCACGGTAACCATCCCTGTTCGAGCGAGAAAGTCTCGCCCTAAAATGACCGGCACAGAGAGGTCGGGGAGGTGAATGAAACGGTGGCGCCTCACTCTGTGGTCCCATCGCACGACTAACCGCACGGCACCGCTCGACTGGGCGGTGCCACCAGCGGCCAGCCGGAAGGACGTGTTGCACTCTCTTAACCGCACAGAGTGCGTTTGCAAGTGTGCAAATACTTCCTCGCCGAATAACGATGCGCTGGCCCCGGAATCAAGGAGAGCCGCAAACGTTCGACCAGCGATTGTGAGGGCCACGAACGGAGCAGGCGCATCGGGTGAAAAATCGAGCCGATACGCGGACGGAGCGAGGGCGATCATGGGCGCCCCCGCGTTCTTCCGAGCCGCCGGCCTCGTCAGCGGCGGCCTGCTCCGTTTCCCGAGGCGTTGGGAGGCGCTGTCCGCCGGTCAGTACATTCTCGGGCGAAATGGCCCAGATTACCGCAGCGGAAACACCGTGCGTCCGAACCGCGGGGTGGGTCTCGTCGCACGTTCCTCGACGGGGCGGGACGCTCACTGGGAGCATCTTGGTGCTCAACCTGCGCCCCCCTGCGCTGCCTTGTATCCGACGGGCGGTCCCGATTGCGCTGGGCCGCATGCGCCTCTGTGGAGCCTCGTCGCAAGCCAAAGGTGTAGGGGTCCAGGGCACGATCGGAAATGTCTCTCGTGTCCCTTCCCCGCGTGTCGGCATATGCCGCATACGCCTCAGGGCGGCGAGTCCGAGCCCCGAAGTCTCCGTTCCACGCACAGCGTGGCTCTAGGGACTCCGACGGGTGAGGCGGAGGCCTGTAGGCGCGCGAGGCGAGGATATCGCCCTGTAGGCGGCGAGCTTCAACGGCAAGATCGTCCAGGGAGCTGAACCGACTGCCGCGCAGATAGGCGGCGAACGTTGGATGCGCCTGCCTAATCACTCGCTCGACTCGCTCCGAGTTCGGGGCCGCAGGGTCAGCTATCAGAAACAGCTCCTGCATGGCCCGGACGTACTCGAGGAGCGATTCGTCCGGATGCTGAGTCCGTCGCTCCAACTCTCGTCGCATCCTCCGCTCATAGTCTGCGGGGAGGAATTCCTGTCGAAAAGACAGCCGGAACTCCTGGAGAGTGAGCGCGTGTTGCCCAGCCAGGCGAAACCAGCGGGCTGCCTGGTCGGTCAGGGCAACGGGCAGAATGCGACCCAGGATCTCTTGATCGGACATCCCCATTGCCTGCTGATAGTGTAGCAGGTCCTCAAGGAAGTCCGTAGCGCTGATGGAGTCCCCATACCCCTTATACTTGGGGATAGGGATCCGTACAGGCGATCGCATGCCTCTCGGGCCTGGCAAGATCGCCTGCATCGCGCCGGACAGGCTCTCAATGATTCGTGTCGCCTCCTGCAACAGCGCGTCATGAGAGCCCGCGAGATCATTGCCCGAGTGGGTCGCTGCGGGCGCCCGCCGTGCTGGGGAAAAGTCTGGTAAAGGTGAGACTCCCGAGAGGCCAATCGGCAAACTCTCACCTCCAAGCGGAGGGATGCTGCGCCTCGGCGGGGCTTGCGGGCCGTCGGCCGGCAACTCAATGAGGTCGCCGGCGGCGTTCGCTCCGATGGGAGTAGCGACGGGGTCCCGCGCGCGGATGCTCTCTCGCAAAGGGGAGACCCGCGTAGCGTCATCATGCGAGACATCGGCCCGTGGGGATACCGAGTCGCGCGGATGAAGAGACGGAGCGGTGGTGGCGTTCGCTCCGATGGGAGCAGCGACGGCGTCGCGCGCGCGGATGCTCTCTCGCAAAGGGGAGACCCGCGTAGCGTCGTCATGCGGGACATCGGCCCGTTGGGACACCGAGTCGTGCGGATAAAGAGGCGGAGCGCTATAACCACCGGCTGGTCCGCTCACGTCGCCAACGGCGTTCCCCTCCAGGGTGGAAGGAGCGCCGGGCGTTGGCCGCGCCTGGCCGGGGTCTCTAAAAGGAGACGGGGTCAGGGGGTCCTCAGCCAAGGTGCGTACTTCACGGGAGAGTCCGCTGGCCAAGGGTGGCGCAAACCAGCGGCCGCCGACAGAGTCGGTGGCCGGGTAGCCGACGGGTGGGAGTGGGGCGGCCAGGGGCTGCCCTCCCGTAGCCACGTCCGCCAACGTGATCAAAGCTCCGAAATCGGGCTGATCCGCGGACATGGCTCAAGAAAACCCTAACAGCGGGGCAACCACAAAGTTTACGCTAAACCACGACAACGATAGGTGCCGTGGCCCCACGTTGGGCGCCAGAATGTGGAGGTCTCAAATGGGTGCGAGGCGTCCGGATAGGAGGCCGACCGCGAAACCACCACCCCGCAGCGGATCAGAGTCACCGCTACGACGGGTTCGACTGTTGGCTGCACCCGCTAGCCGGGACTCACGAAGGGAGTACACGGACACACAGAATAGAGGGACACCCGGGGTTTATTTGTCCGGATAAATACAAAGATATAAAGACTAGTAACGGCAAGGGGGAGGTTGTCCTTACCTTGCCGCACTTTCCCGAGAGCCTGGACGGAGGTGGGGCAGCAGAGTGCGTGGCCGCACGTCCGAACAGTTTCAAGTCCAGCAGAACAGTCCCTTCCCCGAGCGGCCGGAGGACACGCTCTCTCTCTCTTTCTCTCCCTGGCGGCTCCGGCCTCGTCCCCGGAGGGGCGGGCGAGCCCGCCAAAGGGAAGTTCCCTACGTCCCTCCCAGCGGGAGGGACGCGGACGGAGGAGTGGCGAGAGTAGACAACCAAGATGGCTGCCTCTCCTTGCCACGATACGGTACGCTCCGGTCGGAAGCCGAGTGGCCTCCGACGTCGTGCCCGCGGCCAGAAGGCCGGATCAGGGAAAGGGAGCCAGAGGCTCCCACATTGGTAAACAGAGTATGGATGAAGCACAAGGCAATTTCAATGAACTATGATGTAAGTGGGATAGTGCGTGCCATTTTTACAGTAGCAAAATAGATGACAGAAATAGGTGTCTCGTTGCCAAGCTTTCCAAGTAACAGCTGGTTTTCCTTCAAATCTGCTTTCACCTCGTCGGACTGTGCCATCCAACATGTTTATATTGTACAGTGTGTCTACCTGCCCTCAAGCATTGTACATATATATTTTCAGCAAAATCAAAAACTTGCAGACTATATCAATCTACTTTTTTTCTTCTTCTGATGTGTTCATGGTTAAAACAAGATTTGCCACTGCAAATGGCGTCCTTTATTACTGGAATGTTTTGCAGATCATATTCAATAAAATTTGTCATCTCCATTTATTGGAAGTAGAGCCACAAATCTTCAATTCCTTTTGGCCTGACCGAGCAGGAACTCGAACATGATCCGTCGCTGTTCGGAGAGCTCGCGCCTTTCCTCGGCTCTCGCCTGGGCTTCCTCGGCAAATCGTTCACGCTCAAACTCCAGCCGTTTTTCATCTAGAGCGAGTCTCCGCTCTTCTATATCGAGCTCCCTCTCTCGAATGGCTCGCTTCTGATGACTGCGCTGCTGCAAGAAGGTGGCCACGTCCCCATCGCGAGTTTTCTTCTTTCCTGCAGAAAATCATGTGCAATCAGGAAAAATGACAGCAGAGTGAAAACAGTTCTGATATGGTTCACCCGTACAACGATAAGCAACTGGTTGATTCTAATTTTCTGATATGTTCTCATTAGAATTAAACTTGTTTTCTTCAAGTTTAATTATCCTTACCAACCGGCTCGTTCTGTCCTTTCTGATAAGAGGTGCACCCCTGCTTTAAAAGTGCCTTCCACACATTTGAGCCCACATTTGTAGCTCTTGTTGTACCACCTTATTAAGATGAAACTGATTATTGCAAACCAAGCACCTCAAAAAGAATTAACTCACTCGGGTGGGCATTGTCAACAGCTGTAGTGAACATATTTAACCCAATCACTGGCAGCTAATGGAGTCCCCAGGCAAAATCATATTTCATTCACTATGCTTTGAATGTAAATTAAAAATAATTGCAGCCGTTGCACATGGGATACCTAATGCCGGACCGAAGAACCTAGGCTTCAGCACACGTGTAGGTACAGTGCCAATCAAAATAGTGAAGCCTCACTAGTGTGGTACTGCCTGCTGCTCAACCTGCCTTTTTTTGTTAGTCCTGCCTCAACACTGCTGCCGCACTTTATCCAAAGCAACGTAAAGGGCTGTCCAAATAGGATTAATTTCCGGCCATTTGGTACATTTGCCGTGACGGAAGTGAAGGCTTTTTTACAATCTATATCCGCCTTCATAGTGTAAAATACCGGACAAGCGCCCACTCAAAATTTAGAGATAATCACGAAAAAATGGGGGATTGGCACTTATCCGGTCATTAATTTTACATATAAATGTACTGTGCATATTTTTTCATATCTTAAAAATTTGGATATGGGTGCTTAATGTGGAATGGGCGGATGCGCGGTATTCTATGGTACATTCTTTTTGCCGCGGGGAAAGCAGGCTACCACAGGGAAGCTTTTCTCCTGACAAAAAGAATGTATGAGAGCAGATGGGAAGCGTAGGAAAACCTCCACTGCAGGTACAGCAAATGCCACGAACGGCAGAAAACATGCCGTTTGGACAGCTCTTATAGGGAGTTTGGGAACTTTCTGTTGATGGTTCACACACTCAAAACAATCAGGTGCTCAACACAGGTGCTTAATTTAGCTTGTGGCATGTAGGTAGCTACATAAGCACCCACTCCTGCAGCTCTTTTCAGCACTGTGCTACCTACTTCGAATTGTTCTTGAAAAAAATGAAATTCCGACAAGCTGCACCCATGAAAAGCAAACAATTTCCAGCAGAAAGAGCTTAGTTTAGACTACTTGCTGAACAACGCAATTAACGAAACATGCAATTTGAGGTTCTTCGTGCTTGGGAAGGCAAAAGTGTTTGACACCGCTCAATTCAGCATGCTTCCTTCCAATTGATTGAGAGTCTTGATGTCTAGTACAAGACTTGCCTGGAGTAGAAATTACTCAAGTAAGATGCAAGTGGTCCTGGAAACACTGCACAAAAAATAATCATAAAATGCTTAGTGAATATTGATATTCATACCTCGCAGTGCCGCAGTTCTTGCCCTAGGTGGTGGTGGTGACCTCGTCCGATCGGACCCATTGGCCCCATCGGTGGACGTCGACTGCGAAGGGCCTCCGGTGGCAGGCGTGGCAACTGCAGGCGTGCTTCTGGCGCCATTCTCACACATCTGCATGAGTAGAAGAGACGCTGGAGACTCCTCACCTGCACATAACGTGTGAAAGAAATTGAGTGAAATCACAGTTTTGGCAACGCTCAGCCTCAAGCACAGGGTTAACCTATTGTGAACCGTGCAAAGGCATTGTAACGAATGCCAGAAGCATCTGTATGTGGCACACTACACAGGCTGAGGTTCTCTTCTAGAGCCTCTACAAACGAAGCAGAGAAGTGTAGGAGAGGCTGGGAGAGGGAGGGGGGGTGCAATTGAAAAGGTTGGCTCGGGGAGAGCTAATGGCCTTAAAGAAGGCAAGTTTCTGGGTGAATTTTCTTATTAAGGGTCCTTCCAGACTACAGGCAGCCTCTCGAGTTCTCTGTGGCTTGTGAAACTTCAAGCTTAACTATAAAGATACCTGAATCGCCTTATAGATGTATGAAACTAACACCATTCGTTTTTGTAACAAAGTATGTCATCACACATTCCAGTAGAATCAAATTTTCATCTATATCTGTGGACCAGTGTTTGCTCTGTTCGATGGGCACCGCAATGTTTGTTTATGCTGATGCCACAACACTGTAAAGGGCTGTGATTTTTGCAAGACTTCGTGTTTTTCTTTTTTAGAAACCTTTGTGCATACCGTAGTTCAAGAATGTCGGAAATGCATAGTGCTGAAGCTCCAAGAACGACACCGATGCCAAGAGTGCTGCGAAAAGCAAAAATCTTGTTTTATGCACAGCCCCTTTCTTCACAAAAGCCTGCAATTGAGATTATTATTCCCCATTTTTATCACTGGAGACTAGGATTTCGGACGCTGGTCTATGCAGATTATACTTGCCCATAATGTTTTCCGAATCTTCGTCCACTACCTCCTCTGCGTTGGCTACGTTCTTCGCAGCAGCGGCTGCTGCATTGATTGCCGTCACAGCTGTCTCCCTGATGGCATTGGCGGCGTGTAGCTCCGCCCTGGCCGAAGCTTTGTTGGTCCTGCTGCCTGGCCCTATGGCGTTGCCCGCCGTCATGCCCACTTTTCTGGGCTGGACCCTGACTTGGTGGCCGAACTCCCTCGCCATGTCATTTATTTCTTGGAGCAGGTGCTCCTTTTCGGAGTATTGCTCCTCTGTGCCAGACCTAATGTTTGAAGAATAAGATGGAAATGATTGCAGCAGGAGTATTTCAATTCAACACAAGGTGATTTAGTATCTTTAATTGTTAGATGTGAGTTGAGTTGTTAAGATTTAGCATATCTGCACGCAACAACCCTGAATTTTATTTAGTCACACCTGCAGCAAGTAACTGCCTCATGAAAAGTCATGCTGCATCAACATAGCCATTGGCTCTTATCAAACAGGAATACAAAACTCTGCATCCGATCAATTTTCACATTTTGTCTCATGTGGTCAAGCCACATGGGTACTTAAAAGGTCATCCCCGTGAGCAAGGGAAGAGGAAAATAAAATGTACAGTGGGAATCGATATGAGCTGACTAAAAAACGCTGGCCGGGGCGGTAAAAATCACTGGAAAATCTGGGAAAGAGCAACGCAGACCATCTCTTTATTAATTTCGGAGCATTGGAAATAGAACGAAAATAAAATGCGTTAAACAACGATTCCCTTGCAAAATATATGTTCCGTAAAACAGACTCCCAATTTCACAAGATATAAACTCCGAAAACACGACACCCGTACTATGAATACAAATCTGGCGTATCCGTGGCTGTGCCCTCATTGCATCACCGCTTGCCAGTCCTGCTCAGGTCAGTTCAGGCAGTGGATCTCAGAACGAGCCGCAGACCGAATGTTTCGCCGATTTCAGCTTAAAATGCGCTCAAGGAACAGAGGTTACTGTACTTACTTTCTTAAGTTCGCCCTGTCCTCTCGACGAAAGTGGCCGAGTAGCAGGTCGCAGCGTTCGCGTATGGCACGAGCTGTGAAGTTTTTCCCGGTTGCTTTGTTGACCATCTCTGTGACTGCTCGCCACCTGTCGTGGTCCTCGAATGGGTTTGTCGCTGCTACCTCTTGTAGCAGCAGAATGTCGTCTGCCACGACGAAGCGCGACCGCACAGCGGGCACATTCAACGCGGCAGACATCGCGGACATCTTGGAAGTGATCGAGAACGCTGGCTCTCCCCGGCGTTCCCTAATCTCGCAACGACTCGTTCTCGCGAGACCCGCGCTAGCACATCCCGCTACCTCCCCCGCTATTTTTGCAGAACAGCGCGCCTCCGCTAGCCTCCACAGCTCCGCTAATTTTCCGCTAGCAGCGCGCATGCGCCGTAGCGTCGTCGCTCTAGCGTATAGCGTAGCGGGAGAGCCAAAACGATCTACTAAAACTTTATATTGAGGAACAAAATAGCGGGGGGGGGGGGGGAAAGGGAAACAGGCAGTTCGCATCACTCTATGCGAAGCGCACATGAAGGCACCCTAGGCTGCACTTCTTTCAGCACGGTGTGGCTCAATTGTATTGTACACTTTCAAAATTAAATAATATTCTAAGTACACTAAATAAAAAATAGGTAACATATTTTCCAGTCTATAAGTCCACACCCTAAAATGACTGTTTTCACAAAAAAAAAAGTAAGTTGCACTTTTGTAGAAGTCACTTGCATATGTGTATATATGGCGTGGCGAAAGTGCCTTGATAAGCTCGCATATGTATATTGCGATCACTATACAGGTGCAAGCATTAGCAAGTTTCAGTAGTCACATCAACGAATCAAACAAGAAAAATGACTCCCGTGGTAAATTTGCGGAGTTCGCGACGGAAATTTTGGAGAAAAACAAAACAGCTTCCGCAGGGCGTGGAAGTGTCACATCTTTGCGTGTCTCATGTTGCGCTATCCGTTGGCATTTTATACAAGTCGGCGAGCACCATTAGGCATTGTCTTCGAAATGCCACCATAGATTGCCCGAAGCAGGTTCTTTTTTTCTCTTTTGAACGGGGCAAGGTCATCTGTTGATCTTTTCACAACAAACATCCACCACCTAGTCGCCCCCCCCCTGCACTAAATTGCAGCATAACACACCGAGACCGATTTTTGTTGACCGCTAAAAGTAGGTTTGAAGCATTGGCTAACAAGATATACTACGTTAATGGATTGTCCAGGCTTTACTGTTTCTGGCATGTTATTTCTTATTTTTAAGTTCAGAATAGTCATGGAGAGAACAGCAACTGAACGTGAACGTCCACATTTCCCTGATGTCACGACATCATATCTAAAAATTTCAGGTTGAGTTGACAGTAAAATAAAGAGTTGTGTCACACATCTGTTTTTCCTCCGCTATAGTGAGCTTTAGCAGCATTAATTTCACACCATCAAGCTTTTTTGTGACTCGCTGGGAACAAGCCATAATGCTCAAATTGCAACACCTATCATGTTTTCAGTGTTGCCAGTTGAGCTTTGCAGTCTGAAAAGCGATGGGGAACGAACTTGAAAGAAGAAATAATTTTTGACCTATAATATGGGTTACTACTACAACCATGACTACTGATATTTTCAACCAATATTGAGGCAACTCAGACCATCAAAATTTTGCCAGAGCTTCCCTTTAGCCATGAACACATTTCGGAACTTCTTTAGGCTACTCTGTTGCACTTCACGACTTACTGCGACGGATGCCGCGAGCCATTTCAGCCAATGCGGCACTTCATGTGTGCGTGCCCCGTGGCTTCGTGCCTCGCACAACCAGGAAGCCGCATGACACACTTCATGCTGATTTCGCTTCAGTGGCTTATAGCATCTGATGCAGCTCTTAGGACAGGCTGACCCAGCTTAAGAGCCGCAAACAAAACCACGTAACTTCCAAGAGCCGCGGGGAGGGGGGGGGGGGGGGGGAGGGGCCCTTCAGCATAGTCTCCATAGCACGCTGAAAAATAGCGGGTGCGGAAGACACCCCAAACGGCAGACGGTTGTAACAAAACAATCCTCGATAGGTATTGATGACCGTCAGTTTCTTAGCCTCTTCCTCAAGGGGAATCTGATTGTAAGCGTCGCGAAGATCCAGCGTGCTGTACACTTCTCCATCGTTGAGAGCGGCGAAGAGGTAATCAATCACAGGTAGCGGAAAATTGCTCGGTAACGCATGCCGCGTTCACGGTTAGCCTGTAATCGCCGCAAATACTGACTGATCCGTCCTTCGTAACCGGCATGATCGGGGTTGCCCACTCTGAGTGTGCCACAGGAGACAGAACGCCGTTCTTCACTAGCCTGTCGAGCTCGTCAGAAACCTTGTTCCTCATAGCATACGAAAGAGGTCTAGTCCTGAAGAACTTTGGAACCGACCCCTCCTTGACATACAGGTGTGCGGGTGGAATCTCGAACAGTTCTTGCGTTGGCTCAAATACCTCTTCGTGCTCGGTCAAGATTTTATCCAGACCCTCCCCTTTACATTGGCTTTTCGAGTTGAACACACTGAGAACAGGAGTTCCCAAGTTGTTTAGTGCTTGGTTCAGGTCTCGGCCACACAAACATCGTCCTGGCCGGCGAAGTACAGTCATCGACGCTGTGACAGTCTTGTCGGCATACGAAACAGGAAGCGTGAGCTTACCGGCAATGGGCCCCAAGTAGCAAGACAACTTCAGGGTTGACTTCTCCAGCTTTGGCCAACTTTCCCTGTGCTAATTGTAAATGTCCCAGGATATCACGCACACAGTTGATCCCGTGTCGATCTCCACGATAATGTCGACTCCGCCCCAACAGAACTTGCGCCGAACTGGACCGACGACCTTGTTCTCCCCGATCGGATTTTGTTTCAGGGACAGCAGGTGCGAGGAGAATGCTGTGTCGCCGTCCTCAGCGGAGTTTTCTGTTAGTGCGAACGTCCTCTGTTGTCGCTTGCCCTTAAAGCGACACATTAGTGCGAGGTGTCCCTTCTTTCCACACTGGAAACACTTCGCCTTCTTGAACGTGCAGGCCATCTCGGAGTGTTCCTTGCTGCCGCACCGTTCGCGCGCTAGCGATGGTCCACGTTCTTCCTTGCTGTACGGGCGTGACGGTCCCGGTCGTTGCTTACCCACCGTTTGTGCAGCTCCGGCTCTGATCTCACGTCTGAAGGCTTCATGAGCTTGACACTTTGTCTCGCCTCCTCCGCCGCCAGCACGATGTTCTCAGTTTCCTGCAATGTCAACTTGGGCCTGGAAAGTAGTGTCTTCTGAACGTCGATATTTCGAATTCCGCACACTATCTTGTCTCGTAGCATGCGGTCTAACATGTCGCCGAAGTTGCTTTTATCGGCCAGCTGCCGAAGTTCCACCATGAATTCCTGAGCCGACTCTTCCTCTTTCTGAACCCTCGTAAATATTTGAAGCTTTCAGCTATCTCGTTCAGTCTCGGTGCATAAAATTCTTTGAGAATTTCAACCGCTTGACCGTAGGTTAATTCTCTAAACTTCCTTGGTGCGCAACGCCCACTCAAGACGTAGGTTGCTCTTGAGCCCAGTGCCGAAACGAGAAGCGCTCTCTTCTTTACGTCGTTCACGATGCCGTTTCCCTCGAAGTAGGACTCAATGCGGATAATAAACGAGGTCCACGTCTCGTTCGTCTCGTCGAACTGTGGCACTTGGTACGTCATCACCGCATACTCGGAGTTGCGTCCGTTGACTTCAGAGGCTGGTTTGGTACTCGTCGCCATTGCTAGACATTATTAGTGTTCTTTAATCTGTGTACAAGTATTTACACGAGATGTGCTCTTGGTACAGACCGGGCGTCGGCAGCTAGTTGGGGTAGGCCATCAGTTCTATGATTGCTCGCGCGTTGTTCTCGAGGCTGTCTGTGGGTTGTCGTCGTCGTTAGTGCGACACCAGACGCTTACGCGGGAACAAGATGATGTCTGAGATGCAGCAAGCACGATCCTGCTACAGTGTTCTAGAGGGGGTTGTAGTGGCTAGAGCGGTGGCCGCTTTGTGAAGATTTTGCGCGTAGACGACACCATGGCGCTGCTGCTCTGTGCCCTAGGAGCGCGCCCCCGTCAGCCCCATCATCAGCGCCGTTCGGCGCTTACTACTGTGGTTTGACTGGAGCTTTTCGCGGTGCGAAACAACTGCTAATGTTGTTCTGTATACTCTGTTTCACCTTATGATGTACCGCAGGAAAGGCTAAAAGCGCGAGCTTTTCGCTCTGGGGCACATCTCGGCGGCACACGCTCTCGTGAATTTAGAGCATGCAGCTGCCAACGCTATATGAGCTTGCGCTTCTAGCCTTCGCTGCGGTACAACATAAGGTGAAACGAAGTATAGTAAATTGCAGTTCTGCCTTTGGACTAATGCCTCTAGAGTGTGTGCCCTCCTCTATTTGAAATATTCCCGTGTTTTGAGGGAGATTATTTAATTAATATTGACTCCCCCCAATACTGACACATCGTTCAGCAACGCTATCACTAGGGCTGCAGGCTTAACAGCTGCGAAAGAAGTTCTACGGTGCTACATTTCGGAGAAGCGTACCGCGTCACCCTCGTCGTCTTCTTCGTTCATCGCACACGCGCCATTAATTCTCCTTGGGCACAGAACTCCAGCGCCACTCGCGGTATCTACATCGACCGTCTTCACGCGCATCATTATAAGCGGGCGCCGCTCTTGCCACTACACCGTCTAGAACACTGTAATCCTGCCTTTGCGGCGAAACCGTTCTCGCTACAGTTCAGCGACATTTCCGGTGTTAAAGGAACTTTCGAAAACAACTTTCCTCTTTGATTCGCGTTTGCAATAAAAAGGAAATGTTTTTCAGCAGCCTCGTGAGTTTCAGTCCCATATCCGGCGAACAAAAATTCTGTAACTCTGTACTTGAGCACATAAAGGTAGATAGGAGTCGATGTGATAGTGACTATAGCGAATGCTATAATCACTATAATTATTGAAAACTTGAAGAACACAGAACCTGACCCAAGCCTCTTACTATTGTTCACAGCCAATGGGAGCACAGCATCAGTCTATACACGTACTCTTTGCGGTAGCAAACGTTCTGTTTGCTACCGCAAATGTACGATATTTAGTAAAAGGTTAGTAAGTGCAGGAGTTCCTGCCTTTTTCTGACCGATACCTTCTTACTAGCCGTGCGGAGAGCAAGTCGTCTGCTCTTTGCGGAGCAGTTGCAGTGACGTCAGAACGACGCCGAGCTCTGATTGGCTTTGATT